GGGGGGGGTAATACACGTCAAAAACACTCCAAAACGGAGACACTATCACTGCAAGACTGATATCAGAGCTTTCGGTAGGTTGTTTTTCTTTCTTTCTCTCCTTTTGTCATATCAGAGTTTGGCTGAAAAGGGCGGCGGCACGGTTTCATTTCCTGCTGTGAAGCATCGCTGGTGTAGCATCTGGGCGTGGAGAGAGAGAGAGAGGAAGAAGATCTTCTTGTGTAGAGCCTAGACAATATTTTGTGCAGAGTACTCTCACTAAATAGGGGATTATTATTTTTGTTTTGAATTATTTTGCTTCTGTGAAACGCCAGCAGTCCTTTCTGCTCCTTACGGCTTACTTCGTCATACTATGGAACAATACCCAACTATGGCATCATTTATTTTTAGGAAAAATTATGTTACAGTCGAGGTTACAGCCTTATGGAAAAAAATCTTTATCACGTCTTTCAACAAGGCATCAATCCTCATCTCCGTATGACGGGGTGGTGGATGGGCGAGACTTGTCAATGACGGAGCGGCTCTCTAGGCCGTCGGGGTGAGGGTGAGAGGGGGGTGAGGAGAGGGGCAGCAAGGGCTCTACGAGGGTCCCCCGGGGCGGTGGCGCGGCAGGGCAGGCAGCATAGCGGAGGCTCGCGGCCGTTTTCCCTACGAAACAAAAGGCGCATTTCGCTTTCTCTCTAATGGCTGGTGCCGCTGCTTGTGGCGCTCCCGACCGCTCCGTGTGAGCGGGGGGAGGACCACCAAACCCGCTCCATTAGCCCGGAAACAATGAATAGCAACGCGCGCGCCCGCACTGAATATTGGAGGCGAAATACGCCGTCTGCAGGACCCGGCGCTCTTACATTTGGGGCGGAACGGACGCGTATACCGAGTGGGCGCGCCGGTGGCCTCTTACTCATACCGAGGTCTGCGTCACACACATACTCTCTCTCTCTCTCTCTCTCTCTCTCTCTCTCTCTCTCTCTCTCTCTCTCTCTCTTTCCCCGTCGCCTCTTATTCTTTTGCGACCCAGAAAATAGTTTCCTCGAAGCAAGGAAAAATTGCGTTACGTTATCAAGAAATTGACCCTGAATTCAAGAAATTTGCATGAAATGAATGCTATGTTTTCATTAACAGGGAAAATATCGTCTTAATTCAAGGGAAACTCTTTTTTAAAAGTATAGTGGAATTTCACTCAAACATAGAAAGAATTTATTTATGGTGTTTCAAGGAAACGCCTTTCTGGGTGTGGACTCTTTAATCAATTTTCTTACTTTTCTGGCCTTTCAAAAAAGATAAAAATAATTTTAAAATATGTACATGACGACCAAGTTTGAAGGCGCCGCGTGCGCGCCCACTCGATCGCCATAAGCGAAAGGCTTTCAGCCGCCCCGCTTTCAGCGTGGCGGGTGTCGGAAACAGGACCGGGGCAGACCTGGTATAACGCTCGTGCGCATCGACACGTCTGGTCTGGGGCTTTCCGGCTCTAGGGAACATCAGTTCTACTTTTTGTTTATCAAACGTCGAATAAAAATAAATGAAAAAAAGGTGCGATGGACTCTCGGATGGACTTTTACAGTTGTATGAGCAACAGTTGAACACTTGCAAAGAGTGTATAAATGGGTTGTTGTGTTTTGGCAATTGTAAGTGTTAAGTGAACAGATATATTTAACGACTTGTTGCATAAAAGCACTTTACGTGTACCGACCTTGAGCGGTGTTCTGGAAACGATGCACGCACATAGCTTCGCTTTTGTACACATTATAATGTACTGCTTGCGCCCTAAAGGGCCTGAGGGGAGGGAGCACCCGTCTGGCAACAGGCGAGTATCACGGCGCTCAATTTATCAGAAGCTGAGCGGGTGAATAACTTTTTTCCGGCGCGTTACCTCCCACGTCCGTGGGCATACTCCACTCCAGGGGTTGGGGGCGACAGGCAAGCAGGCGGGCCTTTAAAAACAGCTGCAGCGGGCGGGCCGGTGTGGGGCCGCAGAGACGGGCAGAACTGTCGCACAGAAATATTCTCTTCCCTCGGAAAGTTGCCCTCGCGTTCATCTTGTCCGTGTACAGTCTGTGGGGCCGGGGCGATCAGCCCCAAGGTCCGGGGAAAAAGGGGGGAGAGGGGGGGAGGGAGAGGCGTCAGCTCGTGGCGTCGCGGCACGCGGCGTCGCCCCTTCCTCTCCAGGGGCCCCGCCCCGCCCCGCCCACAGCCCAACGCCCAGCCCAGGGCCAGGGGCGTTACACAACACGCCTGCGCGTTTTTGTGAATTGCGCGCCTGAGTTTTACACGACGGGACAGGGAAGAGGAGAGGGCTGGGGCGCCGGCAGAGGGAGCGCAGCGCGGACACAAAAATTATTGTCGAGATTAGTGTGAGAGTACTGACATCAGCGGCCTCGTCGAACGGAAGAGGGGAGGGGGAAGAGGAGGGAGGG